GCCATGTTGTCAAGCTGTCCAGCATCTTTTCTCTCGGTCTCCTTCAGCCTCTCCTCCCTTCCAACGTTCACGATGATATCCAGTCTTCTCCTTCTCGTCACTTGACCAAATCATGTAGATTTTCTCTTTCTCCTTTCTTCATATAAATTAATTTCCCTGTGTGTATTGGGGGGGGGGGGGGGGGGGGGGGGGGGTTGGTAGTTATTGTCCCGAATGTAAACAAAATATTTAAATTGGTGTTCGAATCTTTATCAGGGTGATGGGCATATCTTTTATCGTTGGCAATACACATTCCTAATTTGTACAGGTCTTTGCGCCTACACTAGCCAGCCTATATCCTCAGGCTAAAACGCTCAACGATACTTGCTTTTTCGCGTTCACCTGCTGTGAATTTCTATAGGAAGTCATAATTGTTCGTGCATCGCTGGACTTTCATCTAGTAACAGAACTTGAGTAATGCAAGAATATCAGGTTTACAGATCTGACTTTCTCTATGCAGACTGACTGCTGGTTCCTCCCACACAGATATCATCATCATCATCATCATGTAGCAGGTCCTTTGCAGAACGTCGCTCTCATTACCGTCTGCCTGAAAGAAACTCGGTCTCTCGCCAGTTCTCCCGCCTCATGCACTTTCAAACTCAAAGAGTCACTTATATCCTGTGACCATCTTCGTGTCGGTCGGCCCCTGCCCCTCCTTCCTGGTACCATGCCTTCTGCTATACACAGATCTAAAGACGAGTAATTTAATTAGTAATAAGTAGCAGTTGCAATATATTATTATACTGGCGTATTTTTTTAACTGTTCTATGTTCATTATCGTGATGGTCCACTAAACATGAGACTACAAGTTGTATGTGAAATGTGTGGGAGTAACAAGATGAGAGACAAACAGCCTTACGTACTCCCACCTTCACATGAGTTTAATAATGATTACACCATTAACAATGCACCTGGTAAAACAACCTTACTGGACACAAGGCAAAAAATGTTTCAAGTGGGAGCCGTGTGCGTTTGTTGAGCCACAACCGTCCGATAGCCAGTCGGCGTTAACAAAACACAAAGCAAAATACAAGCAAAACTCTTAATACCATAACTGATTTTAGAAATAAATCATCTTTTCCACGTCAGCTGCTTATCTGGCATTCGGTGAATAAATAAATGTAAAGAATCGTTTTCCAAGCCTTCAGTATTTGGCATAGAAGGCTAGACCGACGTTTTATAGAACAATCGCATTGGTTAGGTAATGTGCTCAGCGTCTTGACCGCCTTTACTTCACAGGACTTTGCTAGGTACCTATTTAAGGCTGGGTCGAACTAGGAGGGTAAATAAGTGAAGGTCCCTATAACGGCGATGGTAAGTAAAGTAAGTTAAAGTAAAGGACCATTTATCACGTCTTCTGGCGTATTGTGCACATAGGGCTAGACCTATATTTGTTATAGAACAATCAGCACTTTGGGGTGATGTGGTCAGCATCACGCCGGCCGCCATTACTTCCCAGGACTGTACCTGGTAGCCATTGAAGACAGGGTCGAACTAGGAGGGTAAATAATTGAAGATCTTTGCACTAAACGGCGATTGCGCGACTGGCAAATCATACTAGATGCAACTTGTATTGACTGTGCGGCACTGCATACGTGATTTAGTTAACATTACGCCTATCCCCTTTACCACCAAAAGCATTTTAGATACTCAGTAAACTCTAGGTCGACCTGGGAGCTAAGCTAAATTTTAAAACTATTCGGAAAATACAGGTTCCAAAACAAAATCGTAGGGCTAGTTTGTAAATGTCTAGCCACTACTCTATCGTGGCTTCCTTGGGGCATATGGCGCTAAAAATATTTTTTTTCTCAGATCAGTCAGTTTACTGTCCGTAACTAAGCCACGTTTTTTATTCTCATGGTATTTCTTAGAGCTCATCTTAAACTTAGTCGACCTTTCTGTTAAACATTGTTAATATTTATCTCAAATGTGGATTAGATGGTTACTATGTTAGCGTAGTGGAATCAATCTTGCCTGTCAGCTCTAAGCTCCTGGGTTCGAATAAACCGTGGATCAATATTTTAGCAAAATTGACTTTGCCTCCCAGATCGACACATCCTGCATGAGAATCGGTTAATCTCCGTGTTAGTACAGGCAGCCATCTATGGAGTAAGGAAAGATCTGTTAAAAATAAATCAGTCGAGCACGTTATGCACGATGTGCCTCTGGCATGGGAATATCCTTTATAAAAAAAATGGACAAGATCGATGCCATCCGACCTGACAAGAAAACGATTATGTGATTTACCTTCAATTTAGCATTTACCCTTGACTCTTGGTACAGTGATTTACCTTAAACGTGTGGATGCATACCTGTTCGTCTCCGTAAAATGATTCATTTTGAGTTTGAGGACATTTAACCCTGAATGTCAGTGATATGATTTACCCTGGGCTTGCAGACATTTACCCGTACACAGATTTTCCTTTGGCTTGAAGACATCTACCCATGTTTCTTGGGACAGAGATTTGCCTTGGATTTGATCAAACGGACCTATGAATGTCCGTATTATTTACCTCCGTCATTGTCAGTAAAATGATTTACGTTGGGTTTGGTGATATTTACCAGTGACAATCAATAAAAAGATTTGCATAAATTGACCTGTGATTCTCTGTACAGAGAATTAAAGTGGACTTTAGGCCTTTTACCCTTGACTCTCTACACTGAGATTTACCTTAGACTTGGAGAAATTTACTTGTGACTCAAGTTAAAGAGATTTACCTCGGGTTTAAGAAGATTTGCCAGTGATTCTTGTACACATATTTACCTTCAGACTTGATACATTTACCCGTCACTCTCGGTACAGAGATTCACTTTAGACTAGATGCGATGACGCTAAGCATATTTTCTATTTATGGAAAAAGTTGGTTGCTTAACATTTTAACACAATAATTTGGCCGGCCTCCTCATTTATACAATTTTTAAGGGAGCGCTAAAGAAGCACAGCTCGTAGATTCTAGCGCTTATGGTGGTTTATATATATATATATATATATATATATATATATATATATATATATATATATATATATATATATATATATATATATATATAACATAAAGGCATTGAAAATGGCCCTTTACTAATATATATTTGGCTGGGTAGATTTTTTTTTTTTTTTTACTTCAGATCCTAGAGGTTCCGGGATCAATACCCGGTAAGCGCTGGGATTTTGTCACGTGGACTTGGACTTCTAGTAATTCCTTCTGACTCTGGGTAGTGAGATCGGACGCCCGTGTGCATTGTTGCACACGTAAAAAAATCCCTTGGCAGTTGGAAATCGAAAAGAGTAGCTTAACGGCGTTAGAGTAAAAAAAAATCTACCCAAAGCATTCCATGATCCTCGCCGGTGCTACAGAGCCTGTGCACTGTGCTGAGCTTTTTCGGACTCAGACTTGAGTTAAAAGAAAAACGCAGCACTTATGGGTTCTACCCGTGTGCCATAATGTTGATCCCTTGTTTAAAATCTAAAACTCAGATCTGTAGCCTTTTAAAAGTTCGTTCGTTCATTCGTTTAGTTCTCTCCCAAAGCTCTACGCTAGTGTTCTATCATACCATTTAATTCCATATATTTTGCGCAGGCACCAGTTAATGACTGTTTTTAGTTGATTTGTAACTGCCATTGTTGTTCTTCATTGCTTCCGCTCCATTCAACAGTAATGGTTTGATATAAGGATTAAAAATTTTACATTTGGTATTAGTTTTAATTTGTTTTGACATTCACAAATTCCTAAGTGCTTTGAAAGGTCATCTTGCCTTTTGTTTTTGTATTTTAATATATCTGTCTGTTCTTCCCCCGATGTATTTACATTACTGCCAAGATGGGTGTATGACTCCACGTCTTGGAGTGGGGTACCATTAAGAGAAACTACATTACTGCTTGCCTGATTTATTCTCATTATCTTTGACATTTACCTCATGTGTTTTGGACAATCTGGAGGATGCCGTTTTTTTTAGAGGTTTGGGGGGGGGGGGGGGGGGGAGGGCCAATAGTTATTTGTTTTGTTTTGAGGATGCATTTTTTTGCGGGGTTTTTCTATTTTGTAATTTGTTTGTGTAAAACTCTATGTGCAATCGGCAGGATGCCTTGCCAGTTGGGTACTTTGGGGAAGGCCCTATAAAGGGCCAGTCATTCAAGATGTGTAGACCTACTGCTGAGTTCACGAACTGACAATCAGAACAATTTAACAGTTAGATTCAATGTATATTATAGACTGCACACAGTCGTGGGACCTAGGTTGCACAAAGTCGTGATACCAAGGCTGCACTCTCTTATGGGACGTAGGTGGGTTGGGGTTAAGGCCAGTTCTAAATGTTTTGGGGTCGTTAAAAGCGCTCACATCGTGGAGTATAGAATACGCGATATCGCCGAACAAAGAATAAAAGACAACATTGTTCTAGACGTATACTGGTTTCAGCAAGCGATAATACCACAATCGCGTGATTGTTGCCACAACGTCTAGTACTATGCAGAATGCCATGATGTTGCAGGAATGCAATGCTGCTCTTTTTTGTCAGGCACCGATGCTGCTAATTCAAGGAAATTATTGGCGATGAAGACTAAACACAAGACGCTGGAAGAAAGACATGTGAAACCATTGGCAATGTCTTGAAAGACACACAGAAGGCCGGGAAAAAAATACACAGACAGCCGACAGCCGGGAAACGCGTTAGTACCCTAAAAAATGTATTGGAAGTTCCCAGGGCCTTCTATGTGGTCGGCTATTGAGAAGGAACAAACAATTTTATACTTCGAAGAATTTTTTTTTAAATATATAAAATTGCGAATATTTACATATCAAAAGTACGAAACTTGTTAACTTCCGCCCTTTCGAGAGTATTAACAAGATTCAAAGAATCTGAAAACAACGATTTCTACTAAGGATTTGGAATTATTACAGTATATTCTGACATATTTCAAAAATTTGGTATAATTGCTGGCTGTTTAAAATAAATATTTCATGGAAGGACGAGGTATAAGTCGTCGTGTACCAAGAAGTGAACTGATATGTCCAAAAGATTTTCTGCTGTCTTGGGACGCAGAAGTAATCGAAGCTACAAAAATTAAGCCATCAACAGAGAGCCAGATTCTGCAGAACATCGCAGCCAAGATGTCTGTTCCAGAAGAGACTATAAAAGAGTTAGCGGAAGTTTGCGGGTACAGTGTAGATTGTGCTGTGTATCATTTTTTGGCTATCCTCCAAATAACGGTGCTAAATTATCGAGGCCGAAAATATACTATTATTACTCAGGGCCTCAGTCACATGTAAATTGCGGACCTCTTTCCGGTGACTATACCGCCAGCGCTGAGAGTATCTCCCGCGCCGCTACGAGCGGGATGGCTGAGTCTCACGAGCAAATAAAATGAAGGAAGCTGCAGGAGATGCGGTAGCTGCTGCTCGTGAGTCCCAGCCATCTAGTTTAGCCACGCTCCCGCTCCGAGTGTAGCGGCACAGGAGATACTCTCGGGGTGACTTTAACTGAAACTCGGCGGAAGCTTTTCTGCTGTATGCCAGAAAGAGGTCCGCAATTTACATGTGACTGAGGCCCTATTAGCGTATATTTTTGGCCTCGATAATTAGGCACCGTTATTCGGATAGCCCATTTTTTTCCCGATTGTTCAGTTTTGTCAGTGTTTCCAACTCTGAGAATGAGGAGTGAGTGTTAATTTTTTTTCTCTCTAAGCAATAGCATTGTAATGACAATAATGAATGGATCTCATAAAAACAATATTATTAATTCTAAGTAATGAAGGTCCAGTATACTGTATTATGTATAGCAATATACAGCAAGTTGCAAAATCTGAAAGAAAAATACCCAACCTAGCCTCTAGGTAAAAACAACATCCCCTAGCGCCATTAGGTGGTCCTTGCTTTAACTCTGTGTATACAGTATATACGTTCAATTGAAATAAATAAAGATCTTGGCACTCTTCCGAATACCACATGTTTGAGGGAAAAAAAAAGAATAGATCCACTTCCACCTAAAAAGTAGGTTGTTCAAGGTGACAAATTAGGACTTTGCTGGAATCGGACGACTTGGGGCATAAGGCGCATCTATCACAGCCTAGCTGTAAACCACAACACAGCGCGCCAACCCACCTTTTAAGGACTTAACAAATTATCTTCTGGTATGGATTCGAAAATCAGTCACCCACGTGACAGGCAGAAGTATTACCGAACACTCTACAGTCTGTTTTACATAAAATTATATAATAACGCGAGGCATAGTTCGTAGTGTTTGTATCCCATATTTTTAACTATATGCCCTTGAGGCCCTGAATGGGATTTTTTTAAAACTGAATAATTTGGGACCGGGATTCGTAAAAGTGCCAAGATCTTCATGTATAGGTTTTTTATTTCACAAAGGCTTTTAACAGTAAGATACATCGACATGATAAAAATTGCTTACAGATTGATGGGAAAGATCTTTAGACTGATCAAGGAACATATACTGAATGCTGCTATGTAAAAAGGAAGGGAAATAGGTCTGTACCAGCCAGTCAAGAGAGGTGTCTGACAGGCATGTGTAATGTCTCCAGATCTTTTTTCCTTAAATAGTAAAAATATTATGCGACATCTGAGAAATATCAAATGAAATAATGTGGCAGGATGTAAAATCAACAGTAAAGATATGCAGATGATATCGTGTTAATAGCAGACAATGAAAAAGATCTGTACCCTTTGATTTAGTACAATACAAGCTAAGAAAAATAGTGTTTAGTGCTATGTTGTAGAACCTGTGTTGTTTTATGCATGTGAAACATGGACAATAAGCAAACAAGCTAAAAAGCATGTACTATGTACTCAAGGCAGAGATGTATTTCTGAGAAGAATGCAAAGAATTATAAAAAGTATATAAAAACAAATGAAGCAGCCTCAGTGATACGGATGAAAGTCACAAACATATTAGAACAATTTGACGTAGACAGTCAGTGTTTTGTGGACATTTTTTTTAGAAGGAATGGAGTTGAGACTGTAACAACTGGCAAGATTGATGGAAAGAGTAAGAGTGCAAGAGGAAGGCAAAGAGATAAATACCTGGATGGTCTGACCTGATGGATTGGGTGAGACAAAAACATTGACTGGTCCCTGGTTCAGGTGATCATGTCAGATGGTGAAACATGATAGCTGCACTTACCGGTACAGCACATGATGATTATATAGTATATATTTTCACTCACTTACTCCATTGTCCTGTTGTCCTATTACTTTCACAGTCTATTCCTCCATTCCATTTTATCCTGTTCAGTCCTTGTGATATTATGTATGGAATCTTTCTAGTCCAGCACCCTTGATGCCTCTCATCAGTGGTAGATTTTTACTACTTTAGTCAGATTTCTAAATTAGTTTTCAATAATGCATTGTTGGTTTCCATTAGATGGGGAAATTCAGTGGCACCTTTTTCAATCCTCTATTTTAATTCTTTGCTGAGTATTAATTTTTATGTGTAAATAGTATAAATAAAAGCAAAATAGAGGAAAATACTTTTATAACTTGAGTTTTAACAGTTTAATTACTGCAACCATGTATCACTATGTTTATGACAACAAGATTTAACAGAATTAAAATTTAAAAAAAAATATGTTGTCTTGTGGTCCCATTAATGTTCATAATAGCTGTGGATTAATAAATTTAAGGTAAAGTCAGGATATGTGAACCAGCGTCTTTGCAAACTGTTATAAACCATAGGTGTTCTGCCACCAGTACGGACAGCTGATAAGAAACTGTCCACCAGTGTCGCAGTCCGTAGCCAACTACATAGCTACAGCGATGTTCCTGCATTTACCTCATGATTGAATTGAGTAGAACTGTTCATGACATCAGTAAGCAATGTTCTGGAAGACCTCGAACATCCACCACTTCAAGAAGACAAACTGGCAGAAGTGGTTATTCAATCCTCAAGAAAATCCATGTGACAGTCAAGTCCTGAGATAGGAATTTCACAATCAAGCGACCATTTTTCCTCAAACTCAACTATTAATTGTGAGTTTGGCTTTATTTAATAATGTTTTGATGTGTTTAAAAAGAAAGCACAAATTATTTGATTATAGGGTCAATAATGAATTAGTAGATTTTTTTTGGGCATGTTTGTATATATGTGTGTATGTGTGCGTTTAGTAAATTATCAGACTTCTCCATACATACAGGAGAAACTCACTTTTTAATGGAAATGAGCCAAAGGACAAAGTTAAAATGCTACAGATGAAGGAGGTACCGCCTGGTGTGGATCTGGCTTGTGTAAAGTAAGTTAGTTGTGAGTTATTTCAGCACTTAACATTTTGATGAATTTTTGATTGAAAATGAAAGAATAAGAAAGAACGTTGCTTAACAAATAGGAAAAAAATATATACAGGTAAATCCAAGTTTAAAAAAAAAAAAGTAACATTCATAACTTGTCCATTTTGAGGTCATCCTGTAATAAAAAATACAAAGGACATAGTGAGCTTTGTTAGAACTAGGTAATTATAGAAGTCAAAATAAAATAATAAACCTTGAACCAAACCTAATGAAATGTAAAATCTAAAGAAGGAATACTTATTCAGGATTTCATTAATATGTTCATTGAGTTCTTTGTGTATCTGCAATTATCTGTTGAATCATTGGTCATTTAGTTTGGTGTATGTTGATATTGAAAATTTGGAGGAGAAATTATTATCATATAGGCTGACACTCAGCCAGTCTGTCATCATCATCATGTAGCAGGTCCTTTGCAGAACGTCGCTCTCACTTATATCCTGTGCCCATCTTCGTGTCGGTTGGCCCCTGTCCCTCCTTCCTGGTACCTTCTGCTATAATTTTTTCCAATCCATCGTGGCGCTTGAAATGACCAAAATATTTCAGCTTCCCAGCCAATCTGTACATGTTGGATATATCATTTTTTGCAGATAAAAAGTTCCAGTCTGTCATTATCTTGTTCATGTGACTTGAAAAAAAAAAGTAATGAATCAAGAGTTGGCATCACTGCACTTAGGACATTCCTGTACTGCTCTGTCCCCTTCTTGAGTAGCCAACAAACAGTCAGCATGCTAAAAGTACCAGTTACAACCTTATTAAAAGTCTGCCTATGTCTCTCCCTCACTTTTCAATAGCTTCCAGAACCTTCGTTTCTTTACCCTGTTAAATTAGTCTTTCAGTATATGTATTCTCTGTCTTTTCTATTGCACTGTCCAGATAGAGACTCCATGTGACTTTGTCTTGCATAGATTGTTGCTTTTGGAGCTTAAACTAGGGTAGACAGATTTTTGTAGGGTATGGGGAGAGGGGGGGGGGGGGGGGGGAGTTCTATGGCTAAATGAAATGGTTAATCCATTAGCTTCATGATGTGCAGGTGTTTTGGCAATCCTAAGGAGTTGTCATCAAAGCTAGTTTCATGTTTTTTTCTGCAAGACTTTCATTGAGATAATAGATATATGGCAGAGATCATACTCTTTACCTACCTCACAGCAATAGATTTCACAACTTACAAGACCTGCAGTTCATCAAGAATAAAAATGAAAACAGTTTTCTAATATATTCTCAACAAACCAACAATTGTATCTAATTTGAATGAACCAAATTAACTTTTATGTTACCATTTCCTGCAATCAGTGTAATTCTTACACTGCTACTGCTAATCATTGTCACTAGTGGAAATGAAAATTGGTAACATGAATCTGATGAAGGCAGTGGGAGTCACTAGAAAATACAGCTAGAGAATAACATGAAATCTGAGGAAGGCAGTATGAGTTACTAGAAAATAAAGCCAGAGAATAACATGGAATCTGAGGAAGGCAGTAGGAGTTACTAGAAAATAAAGCCAGAGAATAACATGGAATCTGAGGAAGGCAGTGGGAGTTACTAGAAAAACAAGGTCAGGGATGAGGCCATAAGAAATGAAGAAAATGTGACCAACATTTAATTAAAAGACACAGGCAGCAGATAATATGGTTTGCCTATGTAGAGAGAATGCCTTGTGATACCATACTATACAGGACATATACAAACAGGACAGGGACAGGGTTGCTGTAATGTATTAGGCATTGCCAAAAGAGGAGAGGGGAAATAGTCTGAAGTAGTGGCGTGGTGATTTCGGTCACAGGCATGAGGGGAAGTTAAGTCTGATGTGATGTGTATAAGGAGATATTCCGTACCCCACTCGGGCGCCAGTCCCTCACTGTTCTGGTTTTTCGGAACCTCATGCAAGACTCCTGTTGCACGTCCCCGTCGTGCGCCACGGATAATGTCTCAAATGAGCAATAACAGAGTTGGCAGGGGATCTTGGAGCTGGCGGCCCCTAGAGGTGTAGAGTCCTTTATGGCTCTCACCAGCCCGCCCCCAAACGCATGGGTGAAAAGTAACAAAACTCAAGGACTGCTTGCTAAATGTACCATCAAATGACAACTCTTGGTTAAAATTTGGGAGCGAATGGAAAACTGTGCTGCTGAGACTCAACCCTTACCGAGAGATTTACCCGCAGCCAAGACGAGTAACATCTCTTGTGGGCGACTTCTCGCAGCAAGATCCCACCTACGTACATCCTCTGTCAATCCTCAGTGTCGTCGTCACCGCGCTGAGGTAGACCATGGCAGCAACTATTCATATGCTGGCTTGAAAACAATGTCCGACAAAGTTACACCTCACGGCACACATGCAAGCTTAAAGTCCGACGATCATAACTCGTACCAATTAGGAAAAGTCTGAATGTCCGTATCCGCTGGTCCAACTCGCCCGAGTGTTGGGACCAAACAGGTGAAGCCACGCCTGACGCATTTTGCTTCCCCATTCTGTCGTGCTAAGGGCACAGCTGAAACAACGTTAAAGGTGTCTAACGTAAGATGAAAAAGAATGTACCTATTTGTGTGGCCACAAACGTCCTAGACCTGCGGGCTGATCTCCGGAGAGCGCAGCCTTGTAGCGCGGGAAGCTCAATACACGGTTGTGAGGTTAAGCAGTCATGGGCAGGACATGACGATTCCTTGGGTGAGCCCAGACCCAGAGCATCATGTGTCGGCTCTGCATTTATGGAAGCCTCCTTGGATGGCGGGGAATGCCCATGATCTGCCCCTGCCTTCCCTTGAGGGCTGAAAACTCTACATGGAGCTGCCTTAAGGACGACATGCCGGGGGCCACACTTGTTAAAAGTCAAAGAGGACACCACACAAATAAGGCAACATCTCGACCCACACAAAACAATGGCCACAGTCAACCTAGAAATAGGCTTGACGTCTTCCTCCGAAGTCGGAGTACATCTGCCGGAGAGGCGGGGAACGAGTACTGCAAACAAATAAGCCAGTAAAACGGATGTACACGCAAAACTCAGGTCAAGGTAAAAACCAAAAGTCCATTTTGGACGAACAACCGTGACTTACCGCCGGAATTCACAGCCTGTGAACAAGAAGAAGAAAGTCTGAAGTAGACCAAATATAATGTGGAAAGATTACATCACAGTGACAGGCATTCGGAACAGCAACATTTAGAACTTTGTATCTTTCTAAAGAGAAAATGAAAAAAACAAAAACTATTGTCACTCTTCTTTGAACTTTGTTTTTTGTCTTTTAATTGATTGTTTGAAGTCATGTTTTATTTAATACCTTCTTCTTCCCTATCGGTATCCCTTAGCCTCTAAGGTTCTTTGCTGAAATTATTACCTGCCTCCATTCATCTGTTTGATTGGCCCTTTCATTCTAGGTTGTGACGCCAAGTATTTGTAGGTCTGCCTACGTTATTCCTGTGGTTTTTACTGTATATTGTCTTGTGATTCTTTTGTTTACTACCTTCTTGATCTGCCTTGTGGTCTACACCCGTTCACCCATTTTGTGTACACAGTCTTTATCTCTCTGTTATCTACAGTTCTCTTTGTATTGCCTAAGCATTGCAGTTAATTAACCCTCATGATACCAGTATAAGCGGTAATTTAATCAGATTATAAATTATGTTGTTGTTTCTCACTTTCCATTCTTCACTATTTTTGTCTTTAAAATTTAATTATGTACTTTCATTACAACAAATTTATATGTACACAGGTACCAGATGGAGCATCGAAAAATAAGACTTGAAAATGATACTCTAAAAATACATGTCAACAGACACATGAAGTACAATAGTTTGGATGATTATTTGGTATGTAATATCATCTACAGTGGTACAGGTTTTCAGTTCCTCGTGAGATTCTGACTCAAAGTTTTGTTACGCTTTTATATTGATGATTTTCAGACATGTTATGGGAGAGAGAATAGGCTTGAGAATTTGGTAATGACTGGCAAGATTTATGCAAAAGAGATTACGAGAAAGGCACAATGATAAAAACGGATGGCTTAGTCATATGGGTGGAGGGAAGATAAGAACCCTGACTTGATCAGTGATTCTGGTAATCATGTGAAATGGTGAGATATGACAGCGTAAGCTTATCAGTGTGGCACATGGTGGTGATGATGCATACTGTTGTCTAGAATTTGATCCTTTGTTATTTTTTTTTTTTTTTATCGATCACCGGCTGTGAATTCCAGTAGAAGGTCCCGGTTAATCGTCCGCTTGGACTTTTGGCTTTCACCTGGACCTGATTTTTGCGTGTACAACCGTTTTTCATTTCCCTGCCTCATGGGCAGCTGTACTCCGACTTCGAAGGAAGACGTCAGGCCTATTTCTAGGTTGACTGTGGCCATTGTTTTGTGTGGGTCGAGACGTTGCCTGATTTGTGTGGTGTCCACTTTGTCTCCTCCGCAGGTATTGCCCTCGGAGTACCCCTTTGGGGCAGCCCCCTGTGGAATAGTTAGCCCTCAAGGGAAGGCAGGGGCAGATCATGGGCATTCCCCTCCATCCAAGGAGGCTTCCATGCATGCAGAGCCGGCACATGGCGCTCTGGTTCTGGGCTCACCCAAGGAATCGTCACGTCCTGCACATGCCTGCTTAACCTCACAACCGTATCAGGCCTCCCGCTCGACAGGGGCTGTGCCCTCTGGAAGTCAGCGGGGAGCAGCCTGTGGGTTTTGGACTTTTGTGACCACACAGATAGGTACATTCTTTTTTCTTCGCACGTTAGATTTCTTTGACGAGCCGTTAGCCCGACAGAATTTTACATCCTGCATCAGGCATATCGTTATCAGTTTTGTCCCAACACTCGGGCGAGTGGGGTCTTTGGGTGTGGACATTCGTCTTTTTTCAGTTCAATACAAATTTTGATGGTCAGATTTTGATCCGTATGATCTAGTTTTGTCGGACAATTAGGATGGTTGCTGTTGTGGTGTACCTCAGCGCGGTGTCGACGACACTGAGGGTTAACCGAGGATGTACATGAATGGCCAGCCTATGGATGGTTGCTGTTGTGGTGTACCTCAGCGCGGTGACGACGACACTGGGGGTTAACCGAGGATGTACAAGGATGGCCAGCCTATGGATGGTTGCTGTTGTGGTGTACCTCAGCGCGGTGACGACGACACTGAGGGTTAACAGAGGATGTGCAGTGAACAATGTTCTCTTTACTCCGCAGTCTTTTAACCAAGGGTTGTAATTTTGGCTGTACGTTTGGCAAACCTACTCATGTTCCTAATGAGTTTTGATAACATTTTTCACCCAAGCGTTTGGGGTCGGGCTGATGAGAGCCACAAGGACACATCACCTCTGGGAGCCGCCGAACTCCGAGATCCCCTGACAGCTCTGTTAATGCTCATTTGAGACATTATCCGTGGCGCACGACGAGGACGTGCTGTAGGGGTCTTGCGTGAGGTTCCGTACAACCAGGATAGTTAAGGACTGGCGCCCGAGTGACGTACGGAGTATCTCCTTATACACATCATGTTGGACTTAACTTCCCCTCACGCCTGTGACATAAATCACCGCGCCACGATCCTTTGTTATCAAGCTTTTTCAGATTGCTGATCTCTCGTGTCCTATACTAACCACTGGAGTCAGCAGTTATAAGACACAGGAGATGGCAGTATATTGGCTGAGTGAGAAGAAGTGGACAGAATCACCAGACACTTATTGAAATTGGAAATGAATGAAGAAACAAGGATGCCCAAGAGAAACCCTTAAATGACCATTTGCAAGAGAGGCGAAAGGTGCTGGTGCTGGGCTTATGAACAATAAAAATGATTATGCAAGAGGAAACAGAGTGGAGGAATGGATTAGAATAGACCTATGTGAACACAACAGGATGATAATGAATATTTTGTATGGCAATGTTGAAAGTTTTCCGTTTATCTTTATGTGCAGGCTTAATGTTTTGTTAGTCTTTAATATTGATGACTGTACATTTGATAATTTTCTCTTAGGCTTGTTTAGATTGTTGCTTCCATGTATCTTGTACTAACCACTGATGTCAATAGTTATAAGACAAAGAAAATGGCAGTATATTGGGCACATGAGAAATACTTCAGAGGGGAAGTGGGCCGATTTTCACTTAAATGAGAAACAACCATTTTTGAGAGGCTGACCGCTGTGGACCAAATTGCATCCACGAGGCCAGAAAGATCGCAAAGATTGCACATAATAAAACTGTATAGTGGAGTAGACTGCAAACCCTAAATGATGCATTAACAGTACAGCAGGAAAATTATGAAAAGTCTGTAGGCAGTGTTTCATCGTGAGATGCTAGTTAAAACTGTTGTTGAGCTTTAATATTGATGCAAGTTCCCTCTTGTATTCTTAGAATGTCGTGGGTTCGGATCTAGACAGAGCTGGACTTTTTTCAAAAATGACCTTGACTCCCAGGTCAGATCGGCCCTGAGTGGGTACCACATACAAGCACTGGAAAGTAGAGGTGACCGGGGTGATGCTGACTACATCACCCCCGCCCCCCCCCCCCGGCCAATTGGTCAATAAGATATAGGTCTAGCCTTATGTGCGCAATGCGCCTGAAGGTGTGGAAAAGGGCCCTTTACTTTATATATGTTCTGGAGTCCTGTGGGGGGGGGGGGATGGGGGGGGGTGACCCACTGCCCCTCCCCCACACACAATCCTAATAATCATTTAGTAAAAGACCACTTGGGAGTTTGGGGATCTAATGTGTTGGGACCAAGGTGCGGATATCACAGCCTAGCTGTAAACCACAACACTGTACAAACTGCTCTTTTAAAGGCAAATGCAAAATAAAGGAACAAACGCTGATTCATCACTGTCTCTTGTTCTCTTTCTCGCACTGTAAACATTCTGTATTGGGTGCCTGCTTAACCCTCCCTGACTTACATATCAGTGCATCTCTTTGTCTCTTCAGAATAACCCTACTTCATATTTTTACACAAACACTGTATATTGCTTTATGCTTAGATTATTTTCTTTGAGTTGATAGGTAGGAGACTAAATGAAGTATAGATAGATCAGTAAGCAGTATATGCAGATGTCTGTATGAAGCATTGATAGACGTCTGTATGAAGTATAGATAGATGTCTGTAAGAAGTAAATGTCTGTATGAAGTCTAAAAAGTAATTAAAAAAAAGAAATATTGACATTTTAAATGATCTGATCATCAAGGAAGACTGGCTAATAAACAGCATCTTGTTTCAGAAGCTGAAATTATATTACCTTGTCATGTGTCATTGGAAAAAAAATCATAGCAGAAGGCATGGCACCAGAAATGAGGGGCAGGGGGCAACCAACACGAAGATAAACACAGGATATAACTGACTCCTTGGATATGAAAGTGCATGAAGGGGGAGAACTGGCAAGAGATCAAGTTTATTTCAGGCAGCCTGTGTTGGGAGTGACATCCTGAAAAGGACCTGCTACATGATGATGATGATTATATAAGGTCGTGATAGATATCTGTAAAAAGCAAATGTCTGTATGAAGTATAAATACCTGTCTTTATGAAGTGAGGTAGCTGTCTATTAGGAGAGTAGATTAATGTCTGTAAGATAGATAAGTAGATGTATATGTGAAGTATCTCATTCATTTATTGTCCTGTTTTGTCATTATATGTCACATAGGTTTCGTAGTCAATTCCTCCAGTTTGTTCTCTCCTGTGCAATCAGTTCAATATTATGGATGGAATCCAGTCCACCAACTTTGGCCCCTCTCATCAGTGTTCATTTTAGGTTTGTTTTAGGTGTCCTTGCCTTCTTGATGCCTTTATTTCCTATTTTATTGATATGTGAAGTAGAGGTAGATGTTTTTGTGAACTGTAGATAGATTTTTGTTTGAAGTTTATGTGAAGTATTTGTACATATGATGTATAGGCACATGGCTTTTTTGTCTGTTGAAGTATCAGTTTTTGTGTGAAGTATATAGTACTACCATCTAAAGATGTTAACGTGTGGCAGATTAGTCCAGCAAATACAGTTTTACATGCATCTTCTAGGCTGTTGTCATACCTGCTCTTGAACCTAACACTGACATAGAAGAGGAATTCAGGGTGCCACAGCCGAATGTTGTTCTGACAGTACAAGTCTCAAAGTGTTTGTTGCTGGGAGAGATGACACAGATGGTAAGGGGTTCTGTTCACATATTAAGCTCCCATCGTTATAATGTAACTGCCCCTTCTTCCTGGTACCATGTCTTCTGCTATTATTTTTTTCCAGTCCATTGTGGTGCTTGATATGGCCAAAATATTTCAGTTTCTTAGACATGATGTTGTTTATCAGCCAATCTTCCTTGATGTTCAGATCCTTCAAGATGTCAGTATTTCTCCTCTTCTTCGTCCAAGATATTCTGAGAATCTTGTATAGCATTTCAGCTCAAAAACCCCTATTCTCTTTCTTAAGGACTGGGAGATAGACCATGACTCACATTCATGTGTTGCTACAGGGAAGATGCATGCTCTCAAAATTATAATTTTGATATCCTTGCTTGTGCTTAACCATAGATTTTGATGCTGTTTAATCTTTGCATTGCTATGGCCATCCTCTTTTTAATTTCTGTCAACAGGCTCTATTGCTCTTTATTATAGAGTCTAGATATTCAAAGTTTGTGACATTTTCTATTTCTTCATCATTTATTGTTATTTTTGGGTGACAACCAGTTTTATCTGTGGAAATTATGTTTGTTTTCTTTAAATTCAAGAACAGATTTTGATCCTCACTGTGCTTTTGGGTAGGCAATGTTAAATTTTCTATTCCCTTTACGCTGTTCGAAAGAAGGACTATGTCAACTGTGTAGCGAAGTTCCGGAATAGGGTTGCCACTAATTTTGAGTGGATCATAAATGTCACAAGTCTGGTCAATTTTGGCATTTCTCATTATAATTATATTTTCTGCGTATATATTGAATATGTATGACTCGTAATCCAACGTACCATGATCGAAATCCACTGCTGGCTGCGTGGATTTTTATCATGGTATAGGGCGTCACAGGTCGACTCAGCCTATAATGGGTACCAGGATGGCTGTCCTGGGGATGTAAAGACGGCCGGCGTAATGCTGACCACATTACCCATCCAGTGCCGATTGGTCTGTAAAAATATGGGACGCTCTTCCTATATACCCGATGTGCCTAAGGCGGGAAAAGGGATCTTTGCTTTTCAACTTACTGTTGAATATGTATGGTGAGAGAATGCACACCTGCCTTACTCCCTTTTGCACCTCGAACCAATCTGATGTTTCACCAGCTGCTCTAATGGCTGCTTGTTGTTCGTGATAAAGATTTTCAATTGAATGCACCTAATGCGCTTGAAACCCCATAGTTATCATAATATTCCACAGTTTCTGACGCTGGACACAATCAAATACTTTGCTGTAATCAATGAAACAAGCATACAAGTTGTATTCTCTACATTTTTCAAAAATAATTCTTATATTAAAGATGTGATCCCTAGTTCCTCTACCCTGTCTGAAACTCGCTGGTGCTTCATGTAGCTCATATTGTAGTTTTCTTTCAATCCTCTTCATTATAATTTATAAGAGGATTTTGCTAACACGAATTATTAATGTGATGGTACAGTATTTGGAGCATAGTTTCAGATTTCCTTTCTTTGAGAGGGGGGATATAGATTGTTATTTTTCAGTCCTATAAGAGTTTTGGGAAATGCCATTCTGGTCTCAAGACTCAGTGAAGGGAAAACCCCAACTGCACCTCCACGCGGTAGAGGACGGTAAACACACTGCGGTGTGGCCAACGCAGCTATGGGGACTGAGTATCTGTCGGGATAAGTGGACACCTCTGAGGTACCCTCTGCTGTTAGCAGGAGGATCACAGAGCAGGGCACTCACTTGCCCTAGCAATCTGAAAGGTTGCTGAAATCGGAGGACGTAGTCTAAAGCCATGTGGCTGTGGAAAGCAACGGGAAACTACCACATTACTATCCCAAGAAACTCATCATGGAAGCCAAAAATGAAACTCAAAGATCTGATGGTGATTACTATCCCCTCATCATGGGCCAAAAATGAAACTCAAAGATCTGATGGTGAGGCCCCCAGGCCATATATATATATATATATATATATATATATATATATATATATATATATATATATATATATATATATATATATATATATATATATATATATGAAAAAGCATAAGCTATCTTTGATGACCATTAAATTATTTCTGTCCTTTACAGGTTAAAGAAAATGAAACATTTCTAGTTTTGGGCCATCAGAAGCTGACAGAATTGCGTGATAAAATCAAATGTACATCTGAGAATGTTATTCCTGGAGACTACAGTGCCATGCCAGATTCAAATCCAGACAATTTACTGCGGGCTGGGGTGAGAATTTAGGTTTTTGTTTTTTAAAACAGTCAGTAAGATGCCACCTGTGTTGTGAAGATGTGCTACAACAGATCTCCAACACTTTCTCATCCTGGTTATACACTCTCTGCTGTTTCTATGTCTCTTGATGTTGTCTCCCGATTGAATCACTGTCTTAAGTCTTCTTGAATTCAACTTTTACCCTCTGGTATGCAGAATTGCTGAACCACCTGTGGTGGTACACCATGATTAAAGGTCCAGCCCGTATACCTGGCCACCGAACATAGGATCAGCGTTTCCTTTGAAGCCTGACAAGCAAGGAGCAAACAGTCCTCACACAGATAAGTCAGATCTAAAAAATATGTGTGCACACAACACTCAAGTCCTAGATCAGCACCACAACCCTGAAGAAGTTAAACAACCAGAACTTCGCTGGTGTTTACTACTAGTGAAAAATAAAAATAAAATTTGAGTGCTTAACAATCAAAAGATTTGGCTTGAGGCTGGCTACATCTTCCTGTTCAAAACTAGCTAGAAAATCCAACCAACCATGAACAAGTGTACAGAAAAATGTACATGTGTTGGCTGGGCCTTTGCTGTATGGAGAGATGTGAATGACTAGTTTTATTCACTTACACATGTTCCCTTTCTGGGTTCAAGAGCTCCATTTTAGAGAACAAGGAATAGACTCACTGCCCCTTTAACAATATATTGTAGGAGGCAACTAATTACGGATGTTTCCTTCAGAATCTGAGTGCATCTGACAGAGGCAAGGAGTCAACAGTCTAGATACAGATAAACCAGATGTGCACACAAAATTCATGTTCTGGATCAAGGCCAAAGTCTAGAAGTGGACAAACAACCAGAACTTTTTGCCTGAGATTACAGCCAGTGAACGCCAACCAGAAAAAAAAAAGGCTCACACCTCTTAATGTTACCCTTTTTTTAACCAGTATTAATCATTCTAGTTGTACTGGTTTATCTGAGGTTTGTATGAACAGTGACAAAATGTACAAAGTGCACATAGCTAAAGTGTGCTGTTTTAACACATCCCTGTCAGTTATTCGGTTAATAACTAGTGTATACATTTCAAATAGCAATCACCGAACAATTCTCCAACATGACTGTTACACGCCCATTCCAACTGTTCCTGCATTCTAGGCATCACACTTTTATAATAGACTCTTTCCTTCCCTATGTAGGTTTTGGTACCCCATTTTAAGGGAAACAAGAATAGACCTACTGTCCTTATGAACAAAGGCGACTTATTAGGGGTTTGCTGAAATCCTATATGTTGGGCTAAAAGGTGCAGACATTGTAGCTTAGCTGTAAATCACAGCAGTGTGTGCCTGCTGCCTTTTAAGGACAGACACAATTAATCAGTATTGTTTCACTTGTAACTATATGTCAAGAAACTAATACTATGCCCTTCCTCAAAGTAGTTTATGATTAATTGGTATGGTTAAAATATAATGTTTAATATTTTCTCATGAACACTTCTGTTGGTTCATATGGTTGTCCCCCCCACCCCACACCCCCCCCCCCCCCCCCCCCCTCCACCCCCCCACCCCCCCCCCCCCCCCCCCCCCCCCCCCAACCACCACCACACCTCTTTAATTTAAAAATATGTTGTTGACAGTAATTGTTAACAGTTGTTTGAGGGTTAAAATGTTTTGAGTCACATATCATTTGTTGGTATGGTTTTCTTTGCGTTCACCCCTTGTCTGTGAAGGAAGTTGAATGTATTCATCAAATATACAACAAAATAAGATCTTCTGAAAAGAACACTAGTCAAAAGACATGTACACATTAAAAAAAAAAAGGAAGAAATCAATTCCTGCAATATGTCTAACAATAGGAAATCTTAAAAAGTATGTGCTTTTTTAGCAGATGGCTTTGCATTGATTTATACAACAGCATGTAATGTCTGTCTCTTTCCGATGTTTGTGATAAATTGTATTCTATTTCTCATCTTTTTTAGAACATCTGGGTTGCTATTTTTTGCAGTCCAAGGAATTATTAAGACTCTTCTGTAAAACACATCTCTAAGGTCTCAAGAAATTGTTTTACTTATTTTATAACTTTCCAGTGTTCACAGCCATATGTTAAAACTGGCTTTGTCTGTCATGCAATAACTCTTGTCCTTACCTCTAGTGACTTGGAACTAGCTGTACAATTTTCATATTTTCTTTGTTGTAATTACATTGACAGTGTTAACATAAATAAATACCACCCTATTTTCCTGTAGGATATTTTCAAATCGGGCGTCTTTTTCATCGAGAATGTTTTCTACAATGATATGCGGCTACCAGATAATAAGGACTACTCAGAGTAAGTTTATTCTGAATGCTAAGAGTTGTTAAAATATGCTAATTGGGCATTTATTTGGGGCACTAAGTTGAGTGGAGCTGAGTCAAAAACTGAGATCACAACACTCTGGATGTTTTATTAAGCCAGTGGTTCTTAGCCTGTGTGTCGGGGCCCTTTTTAGGGTCTAACGGTTATTTCAGAGGGGGTCACCAGAGATCATCGCAAAACACATTTTCATTGAAGTTTTGATTAGTGATGGTTAGTAAGAATAGTATTTGTGGTTAGGATCTAGATATGTTGTGTTTCCATACAGTGTTTTGACGAGATAGTGCAGCTTTAATGTTTCTTATATAGTAGACGTTCCACGCAGTATCTGTTAAGCAGGTAGTTAATGTTGACACGCATTGTTGGTGGCGTTAACACTGCCTACTCATACTTAGATCATTCACCTTACTTGTGTTACTGAGTCCCGCGTGGCGAGTACGGCAGCTTAGTTAGCGCTGTACGACAGTGAGGTGGAGTCGAGTCCTTAATATATCCATGGTAGTGGCTTGGTTGGTTTAGTGAATATAAAAGCTACCAAACGCCGGCATTTCGGATAAGGACGGCCACCTTTGTTGAGGTTTGCTATAAGTTGAATTGTTCTTTGTACATGGAAGATTATGTGTTTACTCTGTAGGTGTGTTCTAAGTATATCCTAGGGTAGTTAAGTCTGTTAGCTGGCCTACCTAACGAGCCATAGGAAGTAGATAATAAAGTAGGTTCCTGACAAGTAGCAACAAAAATAATTGTATTGCTGGGCGCCGCCAGAACATGAAGAACTGTATTAAAGGGTCGCAGCATTAGGAAGGCCGAGAGCCACTACCTTAAGCACTCCATCCTCATCTAGAGTAGCCAGTGAAGAGTTTCAATTCTGATGAATTCAGCAGCAATTTTATTCTATGTTCGCCATGTCTTTCATCTGAGTCTCATGTGTCAAACAGATCATCTAGTCACTCCCAGTTGTACTTTTCTCTCCAGACCATAATTATCTGTTCGACCCTTGGCGTTGTTCAATTGCTCCCAGAGGGATCTGACCACACCCAGCTTGTCATGCATCAATTTACTGCCCAGTGATGCAGAACCAGCCAGTCTGTCCACTGTTTAATTTCCCAACAGTGTCGAGAGGCAAAAGAAGTGCTTGGGGTTCTTAGCCAAAGCTGATGGTCGACATTTGGTGCAGGAGAGCCTAGTATAACACAACATAGCACAACATCCAGCTTAAGAATAGAGCTGGAGGCTGTCACTGCAGCTTTTCACTGGATAAAGAACATGACACATACACATCATAATTTTAACTGACTCAGAAAGCAAGCTGAGTAAGGTGAGAACAGAAATGCTTCATGCAGCATGGTATGCTTTGCTGTGGAGGTCACAGACGGGGAGATGATCCTCCATGTCATGTTGTCACACTGTCCATCATATTTTCTCTCGGTCTCCCTCCGCCTCTACTCTCCTCCAACTGTCCTACTGTTACGATGCACTCCAGTTTTTCCTTTCTTTTGACATGAACAAAGAATGTAGATTGTCTCTTTCTGATGTTAGCAATCAGGTCTCATCGTGTGTTTCTTTCAAGACATGTGCAAATACATTGAGGCAATTATTGGATTAACAGCCTTGATCAGCTAAGCTGTAAGTCAGAAGGGATGAAATGTGAACAGAGCATTGTGTAAGAAGGCTAAGTTAAGTTAGTTGTGTATCCTTTACAGGATGTTGCAGAACCAACCCCAGCATTTTTTTTGATGTTGTGGTTTTTGTAAGCAGGTTGTACGTTCGGTAGTTAAGGAGGCTAAAGAAGAAGATAAAATGGGTGTCATCAGTTGCTACATGTTGAAGGGATAGACTAAGAAACAGAACAGAGCACATAGTTGTGAACACTACGCCAAAGCCACATAAGTGCAGTATGGTAGTTTTCACTCGAGTGAAATTTCCGGGTCTGTTATTTGTCACTTTACAATACATCAACAGCATACAGGTGAAGTCATAAATATGTCAAAATGAGGTATTGTAATTCACACAACCACACAGGTCTTCAGAGTTCTTGATGTTCAAGCACACTTTTCTCAAAACAAGGATTTAGCACTTAAGCGACTTTAGCCTATTACAGATGGTACATACTGAATGGTTTGCTGTCAGGTTGAATAATTTGTTAACTTGAAATAAATTAATGTATTCAGTTATTCACATGAGGAGCATCTGGCCGAGCGGTTACAATGTCGGGCTCTCATGCCGGAGATCCGAGTTTGGAACCTGGTAAGATGATAGAGTTTTTCAATCGTGGGGCAAAATTAAACATCCTTGCCTGCGTAGTACACGGCAACAGCCCTAGCTAGGTGACCCTAAATCCTGAGGCGCAAGTCTCCCAGTCTTCACCACCCTAATTAAAAATAGACAGTAATGACAGTTGACATTTGTTTACATATATTGATAACATAAGATAAAAAATGTGCCACATTTATAAATAAAAGTTCAGGACAAGAAAATACAGCATTTGATAAAGTGAAAAACTTGTGCAGTGAGTCTTGGTCATTAAAAGTTTACAAATTTGTACACGTTTTATAAAGCTGCTTTTAACATATGACAGGAAAAAAACAAATAATCAGCCTCTCTACATTCCTATAGATGCGGCTTTACTAAAGAGTTTAAACAAACAAACTTTCAGACTCTAAATGTGTTATATTTTGTAAACAGCCAAGACATTACATTTTGGAGCCTAGGTAACATTAAACAGCAATAAAATTATGTGGTTAAGTAGCAGCAAGAATATCGGAGTCCAATTTTTAGAACATGCATCTTCCCTGTAGCAACATACAGATGTGAGTCATGGACTGACTTGCAGTCATTATGAAAGAGAATAAGAGGTTTTGAGCTTAAATTTTTTAGGAAGATTCTAAAAATAACATGAACAAAGAAGGAAAGAAATACTAGCATCATAAAGATATGAACATCAAGGAAAATTGGCTAGTTGACAGCATCTTGTCTTGGAAACTGAAATGTTTTGGCCATATTTAGTGCCATGGCAGATTGGTGAAAAGAAATATTAAAAGGCATAATACCAGGAAAGAGGTACAGGGGCCAGCCAGCACAAAGATCGACAGAGGATATAATATGGACAGAGGATATAAGTGACATCAGGTGGGACTGCTAGGTTTCTTTCAGTCAGACTGTGATAAGAGGGACATTCTTTAAAAATCTGCTGCATGGTTAGGTAATGCACTGACTACACACTTACCTGCTGCCCCGAAGTCTTAGGTTTAAAACATCACTGGGCAGATTTTTTATAATCGGCCTTGGCTCCTAGGCTAACTCAGCCTAAAATGTGTATCAGCGTGTGTCCTGGGAAATAATGTTGGCTGGCATAATGTTGATCACATCACTCCTCAAGTAAAATTGGTCTGTACAAATATCTTCTTATTCTTCTTTTATTATTACTATTATTATTATCTGCTAAAACAATGTGTGCATGAATAATGTATGCATGGCGTAAGGGCAGAATGTAAAACGGGCCTGTGTGCCCAATTCTCAACCCTTTGAAAATAAAGTTTGTTCGTTCGTACGTTTGTTCGGTTTTTTTTATGTTCACCTACTGTTAACTCCGGCGGAAAGTTCTGGTTGTTAGACTTAAGTCTTATTCCAGAGCCTTAGTGTTGCATGCACATCCGCTTAACAGATATGACTTAATTGTATGCAGATTGTTGATTCTATACCTCTCAGGCAGAAGCACTCCAACTTTGAAGGAAGTCCCTAATTAGTCAACTCTTATGACATGCTTGTTGAGGAGGTGGTGGGTCTGTTCTTGTTTTCCCCACAATGAAGTCCCGAAAGCCACATGTGGAGGTACAAATATGAATTGAGCATCACGTGCCTGGTATCCTTCTGACCCAAAAATGAAATTTTACTTAAGACTTAACCTTATCACAAAGTCTTTTTAATAAAGTAATTGTGAGTATAGATTCTGTTATGTTATCACAATTGATGAGGCTTGAAAAACGGATTAACAGATTAACATCATGGCACACGGGTAGTAACCCATAAGTGCTCTCTTCTTCTTCTAACTCAAGTCTGAGCCGAAAGAAGCTCAGCACAGTGCACAGGTTCTGTAGCACAGGTGAGGATCCTGAAATACTTTGGGTAGATTTTTAACTCCAAATTTAATTTATCACAATTGATGTCATTACACATTGGGGATTCCTGTGCCTGCTCAGTCTTCCGATGCAGCAGCCACCTCAGGACACTTAAGTATAGACAAAGCACCATGTTGCTCATGCACCAGCGGCACGAGAAAGGTCCTGTAATGCCTACATATTGTACTCCTTCTGGTCGAGGAAACATCAAAGGTTCTGATATATAGTTATCATTAAATCTGCGGTTGTTATCAAATAAATTTGTGTTTCAATAGTTATGCTTATTTAAAGTGTAATATGTTTTTTGTTATATTTGTATGATACAGGAATATTATTAATTGGGCTTCAGAGTTCATGCCAGACACCACCATGAGAAAAGCAGATATGGACAAGGCGACATTTTTTGACCTGACCTTGCGACTTGGCCAGCACTACATGTTCATGCACCAGGGCAACTGTGAACACTCAATTCTCTTCACTGACATGAGGTATGCTTTTAAAAATGGCACATTCTGTAGACATTAACTCTTTCAGTCAAAAATAATGCATCATGTTTGACTGGATTTACCTGTTTTTGTTTTGGTTGTTGTCGTTTTTAATTTTTTTTTAAAAACCAGACTCATTTGGCTCAGGGTCGTGAACATCGAAGCCCTTTAGCCTCGGTGCCAAACATACACCAATAATCTGGGGAGTTTGCTGCTTTTCTGCCATCCCGAGACCGAACACGCATGGGGATTGTCACCTGACGTCCAACAAGATTTGCTTGAATGCATCAGTTGAAATATTATTATGCTGGTACATTTTATGTTTAGCTGGGGCATGCTAAAACATCAACAACACATGTGTCTCCTATAAGGGATATATATATATATATATATATATATATATATATATATATATATATATATATATATATATATATATCTGGGCCCTGTAGATGAAGTATACTCATCGTTGTGTTGGTATTCCAGTTTACTTACTAGGGCATCAACTATGACCTTCTGGAATGGAAAGATTTAACTGTATAGCATGCATAGGTACACTTTTGGTGTAAGGTTCCTGTCTAGTTGAGGTCATTTTGAATTCAATTTTTAAGTATTTTTTCTCACGAGCTGGATTATCATAATCCTCTTGTTTAACCCCACAACTCAGATATTTGATATGATAATTTTCTTTGACAAAAGGTGGGGAAAATAAGCTTCTTCTTGTCTGTTCACTTGCTGAAAAGTCCTGGTTGTTCATCCATTTGGTCTTTGGCTTTGTACAGGGCTTAAGTTTTGCATGTACATCCATTTTACTGGCTTAAAATTCAAAATTTGTGATGAAATTTTAAAAAGTGGAAGCCTACTTTGAACATGTACTTCATATACTAAATCTGTATTCTAGCATACACACATTAGGATCCTCAAGTGTGCTGTGAAGTATAATACATTTAATTAATGTGACTAAAAAATGAGGAGAATCAGAACACTAACAGATATTTGAGGTTGAAAGTGAGTGAAACCTGACGTTGGCGCCAAAAGAAGTTAATCAAAGACAGAAAGCCTCAAAGTGTGATGAAGCTGGTATGTGAGTCTTAAGAAATGTGAGGTAAATAAATAATAAAAGAAATATAGTGTCAAAATGTGATGAAGTTGGTTAGCTTAATTTTTCCTGTTTAGGATTGCTTTCTGAAACAGTAAGACCTAGTGACTCAAAAAGCAATTATTCAGAAAAGAGTCGAATGGGAGCAAATTGCAGGATAACCCTATTCAGCCATGTAACACATTTATTTTGAGGTGAAAGGCAGTTATGAAGTGACCTGTAGTCCCATTTGAAAGTTGGTATTTAAGGAAACTAACAGATAGTGTCTTACTGTGATGAAACTGGGATTTATTTTTTACATTTACATTTAGATTACAGACAGATAATTTTACATTTATAATTTTAACGAAGCTGGTATTTTGTCCAAAACAATTGAAACAGAGCAAATTAATAATAAAAATCACAAATTTACTATTTAAATAGTTTGTCCTATGTTAGGAAATTGCTATTCCTTCATCGCAAATGAATGAAACCATAGTTGTTCCTGTGTCAATGAAAAACCACATAGAATGTCCATCACTGGCCCTTGTGAAAAAAAATGAGAGACTTAGGCTGCAGTCTACACTCACATTTGATGCATAAAGCAGCCATCAGAAGCACCACCACACACAGTCTGGCTCCAGAAAGGCAGTTCATCATATATGGAAGCAGCAATTACAACAGTTCACTAGTTAAAACAGATCAGTAGTTGCACACCCATTTATTCTTATAAGGCACCTCCAATGGCCAATATAGCACAGAAAACTTGCAAACAGTACTGTTTAAGAAAAACTGCCTATATTGGGAGGATAAATAGAAAAATCCTCCTAGCTTTATTTCTTTACTCTGCATCTGTGAGTGCCAGTCAGTGCATATCAATTGTTTCATTTATTTTGAACATAGTATATGCCATTCTGGTGCAGATTCTTGAATTTTGTCCATTTTGTTTTTCACAGACTGTTTAATTCAAGTGACTCCCAGGATATCAGAAACTACCCGCTGCCATACATTAGAAGAAGCAGACACAGAGTGGTTTGTCAGGGGTGTTCCAAATTGTCTGCAAGGTAAGGTTCATTTGATTCTTTCCCCCAGACATCTTTTTCTTCTAACCCGGTGTTAGTCTTTTCTAATGGGACACCTCATTTTGAATTTGTTGTTGTTGCTGTTAGACTGTTTTATTTCAATGTCTGGTTCTGCATTTAAGTGGCTTCTGTATTTAGTTTCGTAGCTATATAAGAATTCAGAAAGAATAAGTGACATCAATAGAGATCTTTATTTGTTCTTTATTGATTAAACTAAAGCATTTGATAAAATGAAACATGAAGGAATTATTAGAATTTTGGAAACCTTAAGCGTTGATGGTAAAGATCAGAGAATAATAACAAAAAAGTATATACTGGCAACAAAAAGCAGCCGTAAGGGTTGACAACCAAGTTGGAACTTTTCAAAACATTAAACAGGGTGTTAGACAGGCATTTGTACTATCACCTTATTTATTTAGTTTGTACAGTGAAATAACAGGATCCATACCTGATATGCCAGGAATATCGGTTGGTGGGCGTATTGTTAACGATCTGCGATTTCCTGATGATTTATAGTTTTGATCGCTGAAAATGAAACACAACTGCAAGAATTTATGGATATAGTTGTAATGGCAAGTGAAAACAAGGATCTTAGTTTAAACAGCAGGACAATAGAAGTAATTATAATTACAAAGAAAACCGACCCTCCAGAATGCAACATCAAAGTAACTGGGAAAACCCTCATGCAAGTTGATAAGTTTAAGTACTTGTTACCCTTACCCTGATAACATCAGATGGAAGATGTATTACGGAAGTCAAATGTTGAATACCTCTTGAGCAAAAGCAGCATTTTACAAAATGAAGAAAATTGTATGCAATCTTTCTTTGTCAATTGAAATAAGAAAGAGAATTCTTATAAGCTATATAAATCCTATATTGATATACAGAAGTGAATCATGGACAGTTGGTATATTAGTGAAAACTTATTTGGAAGCTGCGGAGATACAGTTTTATCAGAATGATAAGAATATCCTAGACAGATGGAAAGCGTAATGAAGGCATCTTAAAGATTCACAAAGAGAACTGATTGCTCACATCAGAAAGAGACAATCTACATTCTATGGTCATGTGGTGAAAAAAAGAAAACTGGAGTACATCAGGACAGTAGGTAAGTTGGAGGGGAGAAGAGACAGAGTGAGATCAAGGGAACAAATGCCAGACAGTTTGACATCACGGCATAGAGGATCATCTGTGTCAAGAGTTGATTGAAACTACACGAGACAGAAGGTTGTGGACAGGCATGACTACCAACAACACATGGCATGTAATTTATGAAGAAGAATAGGAAGGGATTCCTTCTTCACAGAGATGTGTATTTGAGAAAAGCACCAGTAATAATTTTGCTATCTCAGACAAGATGCACAAATTTCAACATGGCAAATTTGTTTAGAATGTAATGTCTATAATTTTTTTTAAAGCCTACATTTTTTTCTGATTCTTTATTTTGTTTTAATTTTATTTATTTACCTGGAGGGGCCACAAGGTTTCCTGAGAAGTACATGGGCTCCGCAAAGGACAGGTTGGGAACCGATACATTTAAGCAATTTGAGAAAAGCTGGTGAAGTTTTTGATGGCTGAGACTAAACCATTTCATGCTGGGCCTTGTACTCTTCAATAGAGAATTATATAGTATCCATTTTATAAAAATGTCTATGCTGTACTGCACTGTGCTTATTAACGAAAACATAGTTTTCAGCCTGTGTACAAGAATTGCACTGTGGAAGAGATTTTGGCTTCAACACACAATATTCTTAAAAACAGCAGTGGTACATAATAGCCAACCTTCATTGGGGAGATGGCACACAATTTTTAATTTCTTTTAATGTCCATTGGTTTGGCATAAAAAATTGATCACCAGAATCATGAATTGGGTCAGAGTTCTTACATTACTCCATCCATGTGGCTGAGCCATCCAATTTTATTTCTTTACCTTTCTCTTGCTCTTTATTCCATCAGTCTTCCGGTCATCACCAAGTTCTCAAGTTCATTCCTGCTTAAAATAGGTTTTTTTAAATAATAAAATAAAAAAATGGCTGTCTAATTTCTCCAGATAAGTTTACAGTTTTTATCTGGACTAAAACCCATGACTTTCTGATCCACGGGTGAGCGTCTAGCTGCTACACCCCGGCGACTCCTTCTAATTTTGGTGGATTGTTTTATGAGTTCTGTATAGCATTTAAACACTGTTTAGCATTGATTATTTTTCTCACTTTTCAGATGGATTGTCCGTGACTCACCCTTGATCCCAACAGATCCTAGTTTCCTCTGCCGTCTGTGTTTCAAGACATTGCTCTACACAAAGGATGGCAAGAAAATTTCAAATTTTACAGCTCAGCACTTTTTAGATGCTTTACAAACATCTTGTAAGTAAACATCTTGTAAGTAAGAGCCCAGTCAGAACTAAAAGATAAATATGGTCACAGCCCATTTTCCAAAGTTATTCTATTTGTGCTAACGTAGCCTGAAATTGGTATAAGGATATATTGAAGTTAAAGGTAGCGGGCATCATGGTGACCCTCACGTGTTGGTAATGTATACATGCATGTATATTAATTTTTTACCCTTTTTTTTTTAGAAAAAAGTTGCCGGGACTCAGAGCACACACACATGTGCGCTTGCACGCATACATACACATGCTTGCATACATATACACACACACGCATGCACACACACACACACACACAGGTATTATCAGTAAACACCACATAGTGTCTATTACAGTACCGTTGTATACTGCCAGATTTGATTTGATTTGATTCAAGAACGGTCATCACAGCACTCGGGGCATTCCCATAAGCACTCCGTCCCCATCTTCAGCAGCCAGCGAAGAGTTCCGATACTAACGGTGCCAGTAGCTTTCTGATTAAACGTCCGTCTTGCCTTTCCTCTGAGCCTCGAGCTTTTGCCAGAACCTCTTGTCACCCCCAACTGCATCAATCTCACCAGACTGTGGTGATCCATCTGCTCCTCCGAATTGTTGTATACTGCCAGATAAAAGTTCTAATGTATATATTATAAACTAAAAGTGTTTCAAATCGCACATTGGCCTTATTGACACTGTATCCACCCATGTATATCAGTTAATTATGTTTCACTGAAATATGTTACTGTTGTTTGTCAATAAACTTTTGCCAAATATCTTCTGTCCTGTTGTGTTCTCTGTGTATAATATTCCTTTGCTTGATTTGTAGCCAGGCAGTCATGTGGTGGAGACATGGTGGCAGACATGGTTTGCAGTTATAAACACATTTATCCAGGTCAAGTCTTCTTTTTCTTCTTCTTCCTCCTCCTTCTTCTTCCTTTTCCCTCTTTCTTCTTCTTCGCCTCTTTCTCCTCCCTCTTATTTTTCGTCTTCTTCTTTCCTTTCCTTCTCTTTCTCCCTGCCAGTGGTTTTCAGATGAGAAGGCAACAGGCCTCAGTGAAGGCTCTGGTGTGTCACAAAGTACTGCACTGATCCATACAGCTTGTTTTCTACTGGAATGCTAACCAGTCTTGAATTTCTTGTAGTATCGTGGTGATTTCTGTCACAATCATGAGAAAAAGTGGTGTGTATAAGGAGACACTCTGTACCTCACCTCCGGTGTCAGCAGGCTCTGTGGTTTTATGGATCCTCGTGCAAGACTCTTGCCACACGCCATACTTTGTGGATAGTGGCATATATCGGCATAAACTGAGCTGGCAGGGGATCTCAAAGAATTTGGCCTTCAGAGATGCAGTGCCCTGCTGTGCCTTAAACAGGTTGTACACTCCAACAGGAAGCTCTGATTATTTGTCCACTTCTGGACTTGAGTCGTGGTCCAGAACTTTTGCAGCCTTGAGTGGGTACGAGCTAACTTCCTCATCTATAAAATAAAGGTCTAGCCATAAATTCCCAATACCCCTGAAGGTGTGGATAAGGGTCATTTACTTATATAAGTAAAGACTTATAGAAATCAGTTATTATTGCCCTTTCAGAGAAACCTTTAACAGATAGATGACTGTACATAGTAGAGAATAATTAGTCTTTTGTAATCGAAGGACCCTTTTTAAACAGCGACACATCTGAATGTCGGATGTATTTTTTTTAAAAATAAACAAATCGATGGTTATGTCAAAATTACACTGGATGTCTTTACTTCCCATGACTTTTCTCGATACTCATTTTAGGCTGGGAGCCAAATTAATTTGTTTCCCCAAATCCGCGAAGCATCAGGCCACAATGCTAGTCTCCCTAATTAAATTAGTTTCATGTATTAAGTCGTCCTCTTGTGGGATGCAATTTTTCATTATTTGAAGCCCCAACCTGGCTTTTGCCAGAGGCCCTGAATATAGCTGGGCCACAAATGTGGCCATAACCGCTGAAAGGGGTTTCTGGGACCTCTCCACGGGTGATCCTCGTTCGCATTATGGCACTTTGTGTCACCGGGTGTTTATCGCTTGTGTCATGTCCTGGTGGGGTACAACAAACAAGTAAGCAAGCAAATTAGTTTCATGAATCCTAAGTTAAATACTGTTGAGTATTTAATGACAATTTTAAAAGATTTGAAGATCAAGGAAGATTGGCTAATAAACAGCATCTTGTCTCAGAAGCTGAAATTGGTCATGTCAAGCAGCGCCATGATGGACTGGAAAAAAAACTAATAGCAGAGGGCATGGTACCAGGAAGGATGGGCAGGGGGGCCGACCAACACGAAGATTGGCACAGGATATAAGTGACTCCTTGAAAATGAAAGTACACTAGGCAAGAGAGAGACAATTTTTTTTCAGGCAGACCGCGATGAGAGCGACGTTCTGCAAAGGACCTTCTACATGATGATGATGGTAATGAAAAGCATTGGAATAAAATAAGGCACGATACAGGAGAGCAAAAGTAAAAGATCCATTTTACGCGAAAGGCGTGTCAGGCATATATCTTCGTCTTCTCTGGTCCTGTCCTAACTTTCATCATTATGTTTTGAAGAGGCATCGGGGGCATGCCTTGGTATGCTGTACTTAGGCTGCTTTTTGTGGCCTTAGATATTTCATCTATCTATCCTTGGAGTTGTCGATCTCTAGATCTGCATTCCATTTCATCTAAGTGACAGGGATCTCTGTGGTGCACTATCTAGTGGTAGTCTTGACAGATGTCCAAACCATTTGGTCTGTTATTACCGTATGAGTAGGCATATTTTGGAAAAACCAGTCAAAACTCGATGGGTGATAGGGTTGGTCACCATTATGCTGGCCATGTTTTCTACCTGTAGAAAAATTGCTGTACCCATTTTACTCTTTGAGTCCTAAGGAACGCATCATACGTTCATGGGTTACTGCCTAGAAGCGCAATCAACGCATGATGCGCCGATTTTAGTCTTTTTTGATGCTAAACCCTCTGGGACTCAAAGACTCGGTCACCTTGAGAGCCAAAGTCAATTTATGATGATTATTTTTTTTTCAAACTTCTATCCACTGAATTACTACGCTCAGTAAATAGTGTCTTCTTCGTCTTAACTAAAGTTCTTTCTCTTCAGAATTGTAACCAAAAGCATAAGAATAAAATAATAAATGCTAATGGAAAGGAACAAGGTAGAATCCCTAAGCGCAGTGGAATTCTTGCATGTTGATACTAATGAGAACATGCAAAAACAAATACAGAAAGTCATTTGCAGGACACGAGAAACCTAATAAGCCTCTATAGATAAAGATATGATAAGACAGAGACGGTCAGGTGAAAAAATGAACCGAGGAAGGTAAGAATTAAAAGAACGGAATTAGGCTATCCTCCAAATAACGGCCGGTAAAGATGGCGGCCGCCAAATATATACAAAGGTCCAGGTACAAAAGCCCCAAGACCAAGCGCACGAACAGACTGGACTTATACAACAGGGAAACACAAACAAGAAGAAAGAATGAAGAATCTATAGCAACAACTCCCCCCCCCCCCCCCCACCCTTTCTTTCCCGACTTATGGAGACATGTGTTTAGCGAGAAGACACACAAGAAAAATCCCAAACAAAACCACAGCATTAGGGAAAGGGCATTAACAAAAACAAAACAAAAACCGCTGTATTTACATTTCAAGAACATTAATTTAACCGAGTAGGCTACTGAAAATCAAACAGACTTGTATATGTGCTTTATTAATAATTCTAAATCAGTTTATGTCTGCACTTTATAGACTATAGACTACAAAGTATTTCATAAACTACATCATACATAAATAATAAGAGCCTGGAATCCATAAGTGTAGGAAGGATTGCCGCCACAAAGAAACAAATGTGTTGGGGGAGGGGGGGCATCAACTTTTTTATTGGGGACATCAGCTTTCCTATAATTTCCCTGAGGGTGGGTGCTCAGTGGGCGTGAACATTGTTTGAATGTGTAATAATAATAATGAATATCCCTGAATAGCACAAAATGTAACAATTTGTTTCAAACAATGTATATTTTTTAAATCTTAAAAATAGAACATCTATACAATTTTTAGGGAAAGGGGCGCCTAACTCTCCTGCTTCTTCTTCTTCACTTCCTCTTTTACCGCTGTGGGTGTCGAGGGAGATATAAGGTTCTGTTTCTAGCTCTTCTGGCTGCCTCGACCAAAGGCACATCGTGCTGTTGTAGAGTTTCTCTGATGTTATCCTTCCATCTTGTTCTTGGTCTACCCCGTGCTCTATGTCCTTTTTCTCTTTCCATGTATGCTTTGTATGGTATGGTGTCACAAGGCATTCTCTCTAAGTGGGCAAACCATTTCACTTGCTGTCTTTGTATGTAATCCAGAATTGGTTCTGTGCCGACTTGTTCTCTTATGATCTCATTCCTGATCTTATCTCTTATGGTCACTCCTACAGCCCTTCTCAGACATCTCATTTCCGTGGTTACTAATTTTCTTTTATGGTTTGTTGTGAGTGACCATGTCTGGCACTGGTAGCACAGAGTTGGAATAAATATGCTTTGAATAAGATGTCTCTTTGTGCTGATTGGGATTGTCTTATGATGTAAGAGGGGGGCTAGCTGTCCCAATACTTGGTTTGCTTTACTGCATCTAATGTCAATTTCTTTATCCAATTTCCCATCTTCGGTAAATGTAGTTCCCAGATATTTAAAATCAGATGCCTGTTTAATGCCTTTGTATTCTATTGCTGTGTTTAGATCTGTCTTCTTTTTTCCTATTGACATTACTTCTGTCTTTTCAGTGTTGATTCTCATATTATTTGTTTTACATTCTTCATTCATGGATGTTAGATGTTGTTGCAATTTCATGGCTGTATCTGCTATCAATGCCTGGTCATCTGCAAAGAGTAATTCGTTGATCTTACTAAGATCTTCATTCATGGGCTTGGCATTCTTGCATATACTGTCGATGTAGGTGATAAACAGCAGTGGTGATAAGACACACCCCTGTCTTACTCCAGATGT